CAAATTTCACTTTTTCAATAACTTTTTTAAACTGTCTATCTTTACTTCCGGTTGTTTTCCTAACTCTCTCCGTACTGCAATTTCACAAATAGCTAACACATTTATTGCACTGGGCTTACTGGGCTCTTTTTCTTCTTGAATAATTTCCCACTCTAAAAATCAATTTATTGCAAAATTTCAATTTCAATTAAATTTAATTTTTCTAAAATAACCGCTTTTTAATAAATAAGATTTAATAATATTTTAATAAATAAAATTTCATATGAATGCTCATTTAAGTTTAACATTCATCTATCAATATGAATTTCCATATATTGATTCTTTTTTTGTTTCGCAAAAAAATTTAATTTCTCATCATTCTGATCATATATAATTGCAGTTGCGCAATTTGCATGCACTGCATGCTGCGAGTGCAATCTTTTGAATTGCATAATGCTTGCATGCAGTGCAAATTGTCAAGAAATTCCACATCATAAATAGATTGTTATTGATCTTTTGAAGAAAGCACAAAAATGAGAAATAAACAATGAAAAAAAAAAAGTAATTAAAATCAATAAGATTGACATGAAATGCCATATGTATGTGAAAATTTAATTATTTCTATTAATATTAATATCCAAGAGGATAGATGTCAAAAATGACCAATGGCTATTTGTTGAGTATGCGTAGAATTCATCTGTCACCTTATTTACATCCTTTACTCATTGCAGGTTGCAGAGAAATTTCTTGTAAACACATTTTTGAACTATAATTAAAATCAAATTTTTAAATAAAACAATACTAACTTTTATTAGTTTTTTTTTATCATCTTTCATTTATCGCTATTATCATTTATGTTTATGTTAAAATTTTATCAAAAGAAATAGAAATGAACAAATTTGCCGAATTAATTCAAACATCACATCTACAAATAACTATTTAAAATGCTTCTCTAAATTTTCATCATTCAAATAATAATAATAATAATTATTATTATTATTAAAATCTAATCAAGTAATTAATTACCGGGAAAAATTACTAATAATTTTTTTTTTGGCTAATATGCAATGTTCAAAAAGAAAAAAAAATTTTAACCAAATTTTGTTATTTTGCTTATCTCAAAATATTTGAAATCATTCATTAAATGTTTCGATTATTTTTAAATTACTTATGTGTTCTCTTTTGTTTTTTTTTCCTTTGCATGTATTAAAATTAAATTAAATTAAATTGAAATTTTGCTCTTTCATATTCTTTTCAAATTGTTTCTCTCCAACTTACTTATTGATAACAATGAATGATCAATAGCAAAATTTCCTAATAATTTCCATCTCGAAATATTTTAAAATTTGAATTTATAATTGTAACCTTCTATTACGTGTTCTACTATGCGTTAGCAATTCAATTATAATTAATTTGTGGAATTTTTTCACATCATTCATAAAATTGTCAAATGTCAACTTCCATCATACTTCATAAAATTGTCAAATGTCAACTTCCATCATACTTCATAAAATTGTCAAATGTCAACTTCCATCATACTTCATAAAATTTTAACTAACATTTACTGCTTGCCAATCAATATTTTATAACTTAACTTTTGATGATTTATCAATTTTTGCCTATGTAAAAGTGCGACTAAGTCTTTATTATCAGTAATTTCTTTCTTTTTTTTTATTGAGAAATTATTAAAATTGCTTATTGTTTTATATATTATATAAATTATTAAGAAGCATAACAGAATAGAAATATAATAATTCATTAAACAAGACCAGAAAGATGAATTTGTATTTGAATGAATGAAACTTAAATTAAACTAAATGAAAATTTTGAAGTTAAAATGAGATAACACAACAAATAGAATTGTAATATTTCATTAACAAAGTACAAATAAAAGTATTAGTGAAAAATTTAATTTCAAAATATTCGATAGCTCATGTAAAGAATAAATTACACTTCATAATGCTTACAGATGCTTCTCGAAGTAATACTTCTCGAATAATCATGATTATAATCATGATTGAATAGTTATATTCAAAATTCGTCGTAGTAAGAACAAATAGAAAAAAAGAAAATTAAATTATTAGTATGAAAAATAGAAGTAAGATTAATAATAGTTAAAAAAAAATGACGAGAATTTTCTCGAATTTTATTTCTATATAAAATGAAAAATTGAAAAATTAGTTGATTGAAAATGGATGAATATTTCTTCTCAATAAAATCAACTTTGAAATACGACTAATTATTGGTTGAAAGTTTTTTTTTTTTCTTTCTATTATGTAGTTTCATAATATAATATCAAAGATCTTTTGCATTTATTTATTTTTTTTCAATAAAATTTTTCATTAGTTAGATTTTAAATGAATGAATTCGTTTTTTTTTTTTGATGACAATTAATGAATATCGAGAATCAATTCCTTCATTTTATCTCATTTCACTTAATTTAAAAAGGAAAAAAAATACTCAAACAAATAATTCTTTTCTTGATGTCAAATTTAAATTGTGAATTTTTACAAATAACAATCTCATCATTAAGGACGATTTTATTTTATTTTTTTTTTTGTTTCTAAAAAATCCAACAATATCTTCAAAATAATTTCGAGAGCATTCCTCACTGATATTACTTTCAATCAATTATTTATTTATAAGTATATATATATTGAAACATAGCATAGTTTAAAATCTTATTCAAGAAGAATAGCATTTCGATTTGAAAATGATTCAATTACATCTCGAATCTATGCTTTATCGGATTAAATTAGCACTTAAAATCATTCTACTCGTACTTTTATCAGAGTTTTTATTACTTTTAAATTGGATATGACTAACATTTTAAATTTGAAAACACAAAAGAATGATTAGATTCAAAATATTCATGAAAAAAAAATATTGAAAGATTGAAATTGTGATTAAACTTTTATAGTCAATCTCTGATCAATTAAAAGAATACAGTATTATAACCCCTTTTTTTTTCAAATATATTTTATGCTAATTACAATCACTGTTATTTCTAAATTGTAATAAAATGCTTACGGTGGAAAAAAAGTTTTACAAAAAAAAAAAAAGTTTCAATTAATTAAAAACTCAAAAAAGTCTCATATATTTGCATAAATTTTACATTTTGTAAATAAAGGATTCTGAAGAAAAAAAGAAAAAGCAAAACAATACAAAAACTACAGACAAAATAGGAAAGAATAGATTAAATTTTAGCTTTTAAAAAGCTAAACTTAGCAATAGAGGAAGTAATAAACTTGGAAAAGATGAAAGTAAGAAAGAAATAATTTAAATTCATTGAATGATGAGAATGAATAAGACTTTTTAACTATTAATTTTAAAGTGGTTTGAGCATAAAATTAAACTTTTATTGTTTTTTTTCAACAAACAACCATTTCTCTCTCAATTTAATCATCACATAGAAATAGACAACTAAAAAAGAAAAGAAAAACATAATACACGTTTTGTAGGAATAGAAATTAAAAATTAATGGAGAGAGCTCATTTAATGATTTTGAATAAGAAAGAGAATCAATGATTTGTAATAATAATAATAATAATAATAATAATAATAATAATAATAATAATAACAATAATAATAATAATAATAATAATAATAATAATAATAATAATAATAATAATAATAATAATAATAATAATAATAATAATAATAATAATAATAATAATAATAATAATAATAATAATAATAATAATAATAATAATAATACGATAATGGAATATTGTTAGAGGAAAAAAGAAAAGTAATTGAAAGAATAAATGAAAGAGAAGGAAAAAAAAAAAAAGCAATAATTTATGATAAAATTGAATGATGTTCATTGAATTCATTGAACAATAAAGTAAACTTCCGTTATTTTTACGCTAAATTATTTGCAAAATAAACATTTAATAAAAAAAAAAAAAAAAAGATGCTCGAACATATTTTCAAGATTGCAATAATTTATTTGTATGTTGTTGTAGCAGCAGTTGTGTTACTAAATGATAACAAAGATTTATTGAAATCAATTGTTATTTCTGTTTGCATTGATTTTAAATTCTATTCGTGTTCAGAAGTCATTTGATCGATTATTATCATTAATATTATTAAATGAGATGGCAAATATTGATTAATTTAAGTATAATAATTTTGATATGTGTAAAGAGCAATCATTCATTTTATATGGAATGTACCAGTTCTTCAGTAGTAATAAAGGAAATTAAATTTGTAAAATATGTAATGGAACAATCAACGAACGCTGAACATAAAAAAAAAAAAAGGTTAATGATAACAAAAAGCAACAGCAATAAAATAATAAACAAGGAGGAAAATAATTGTAAAGTGAAAAATAAAGGAATTTTTTTTTTTTTTTTTGTTGCAAACTATGTCGGAAAATAATCAAATACAGAAATTTGAAATAATTTCTATTAAACTACAAACATTTCCCTAAATAAAATAGGAAAACTAGACTAAAACATAGTTACCTTATCTAAGAAACGAAAATGACTAATTCCATTTATTAAACTGTAAATGATCTATCTCAAAAATTTAAATCAATTAATCTTTCCTAGAAAAAATGAGTGAAACTCTCACAGAAATAAAGATCAAAGTGATCAGCATAACTATTGCTATGATAAAAAAATATAACTAACATTAAATTATATCCTATAACAAAGAAATGATTTCTAAAAATTTGTTGAATTTTTGAAATAATTTCTTTTGTTACATTACTACTTCCTGCACTATTGTCTTTCTGGCAAAATGTAAAAAAAAAATTATCACACACTTACAATTTTTTTTCCCACCCAACACTATTAACTTTTAATTAATCTAGCTCATGCTGAACAATTTTTTCTCATTTTTCGATTGCAAAATCCAAAGATATTCAACGAAAGGCTAACTTTTCAGGAATGTAAGGAAGTATCTGTTTCGAATTTAATTTAAAATCCATTGATTTTTTTTTCTTAAACCGAGATGAAAAATGAAACAATGACAAGAAAAAGGAATGTAAAATAGCAATTCCGACAAAAGAATACTTAAGGAACACATGGTCGCCTGCGTAAATTAGGTGTCTTTTCTATTAATCTAACACCGTCCATAAAACGATTATAAGCATTTAACAAATTTTTTGGTGACTTTGGATCAAGATCCACAATTTTTACGGAATATGCAAAACTGGTATAGCTAGATCCGACAACTCGCACAATTTGCTGTCTGGATGACTGAACATTTTGAGTGGCAAAAGCAACTGGATCAACTAATCGCATACTAATCATCAACGAACAATCCTTCATTGTGGCAGCTAAGAGATAACGTTCAACCAGAGCACGATCTGTGTTCTGATGCAGGAATGTAACATCTTTCTTTGGTAGCAAACATTTATCCAGCAGTTCTTTCTGTAAACAAGAAATAATATTTTTATGAAAAAATGAAAATTTTATAAGCAAAATTCCCCGATAGTAACAAGATTGCATTCAGAAACACAACATATGAAAGAATGATGTTAATATATCTAAATAAGATTTGAAAAATTATTGAAAATCATGACTAAAATAGGTTTATGAGGGCTTATGATTGCTGCTTAAAGTACTTATGATTGCTTTTTCTAAATTGATTAAAAGATTCCTAATTTGCATTTAAATATATTTCGAAAAATTACTGAAAATAATGATCAAAATAGTAGTGACCCAAAAAACCTATTAAAACTTTCTTCTAAAGTTCAAATTCTTGATTCTTGAAAATGAAAGAATACATCAACCATATTAACCTGCATTGTTTCTGAAAGGTTTGTATAAATTTGGTAAGCACGAACTATACCAATCGTATCAATTCGCTGTCCATTGAGTAACTTAGTGAGAACACCTGAATCATGCACAGCAAATAAATCGTCCGATGGTGCATTCACCAAAATGCAACATAACTGCAAATATCCAGCTGTGTAATAAAAAAAAAAAAAGAAACAAATTTCATTAAGACCAAATATTTCTAGAGAAACAGGATGAAGTAACAAATATGCAGTGAAAGTTGTATGAATCAGTTGGGAAGATATGGTCAAAGAGAAGAATACTACTACTGCATAATTCTCTTTACAGTGGGCAATAATAGTGATGCAAGAAATCAAGGAAAATTAGAGTATTCAAATTTTTTTTTTGCTAAATTGCTAAATAAAGAACTGAATATGAAATATGTTCAACAGATGAAAACAGTTTAAAAACATACTGTAAAGATTTGTGTAAGAAATAAGTAAAAAAAGACCGAGAAATATAATAACTCACGGCAGTGATTAACTGTTGAACAGAAACAGAAGTATCACGAAAAAGTAATTCATGAAGTTGTTCGCTCGTCAACTGATGTTCATCTGAATGTATTAAACTTCCATCGAGAAAAATTCGTAGATTTCGATGTGGTACGACGAATAATGAGTTAAGTGCCTTACGCATTCGTTTTAAATCACCGCTGAACAAATCCAACGGACAAAAATCGTACATCTGTTCGAAGGCATCCGAATGGCACTTTTCCAGCTATAAGCATAGTCTAAAATTTCAATTTGGTAAATTTGCTGTCAAAATTCATCTAGATTAATATTTTGATAGAACACATCATACGATTAATCATATGATACTAATACAAACAAACTTAGATATACTGCAAAATGAGACTACGACCTAAATTATATATAAATTATTAAAGTATCCAGAACACAGAATACCTGTAATATGCAGTTGTTGCAGTATGGTACGCTGATACCAGGATGATTCTGCATAAAACCCTGTTTGGGCTTAATTTCCACCGTAATTGTTGGACCAAAATAGCGTGATGATAAACATTTCGGAATTCTTGTAGCATCCATCATTTGCAAAATGCTCACATAACGAATACTCTTTGGACAACAAAACGGAAAGAAGCTCATCGTGGACGGATATTTCTTTGAGTCGCACAATTCATCAAATGTTTCAATCTTTAAATTGAACGGAAGGGCAGGGATCTGAAAAAAAAAAAGAAACATTCGATAGCTAAACTAAACATTCTTGTAACACAAATTACTGCGAAGTTTCAATGTACCGTGTGCAATTATAAGACATAAACGCATTCACAACTTTCGATCCCTTTTTAGTTCTCTTTGGTTTTATAAATCTAGAATGCATGTCAATATTTACTTATCTGTACAAGCAACTGCAAACTGCAAACGGCAGTACATATGTGATCATTAGCAATATTATTCACATGCAATCAAATTTATTGATTCAATAAATGTATTCCGATATCAAGTTATTCCGTTTAGAAAACCTACTAAAAAAATGGCTAGTCTACACAATTACACAACATTCGCCAACAAAATTCTTTTCTGTCTTATACTTGAAACATCAAAGATGTGTCTGCTATGATTACCCGATAATTAATTAAAAATCTTTTATGCAAATTTTCGATATTACAGATAGTGTTTTCCTGAAACACGGGAGAGGTTAAATTATGCACTCACTTTGGCAAGATGATGCAGAGATTCGGTGTCAATTTCAACAACTTTAGGTTTAACAAGAAACTGTCGACCAAGGAAAGGCACAATTAACTTCTCCAAATATGCAATAACAACATGACATTTTGGTTTCGTCGTTACATTTCCCGATTTGCGTTGTTTTGTCAATCTCCACGCTATCCTACAAAATTACATAAATCACTGCTTTTTTTTTTTCAGTTGAAAAGATGGAACAGAATTTTTGTGCTGTAAATCTTTTTGACAGAATGGTAAAATCTTCATCATAAAATAAGCTACAACAACAACAAAAAAGAAGAAAAACTACAAAAAAGCAGAAACATACCTTAAACCTGTTTTTTCACATTTTGCACTAATCACAAAATTGGCACGACCTTCACCTCGAAAACAAAAAGAACGAAAGGAACGTGGGTCAATAACTGGTGTATTTGGTGGAACCATTGATTGACAATTCATTCACCTCCCGAGTCGAGCACTCTCTCTTAACTATCAATCATAATGACCTGAAAAATGTTAATCAGATAGCATAATCAATAATAATTCATAACAAATATTAGCAATGATAAAAATAAGTGATAAATAACAATTAAAAAACTTTACAAATGAAGTAACAAGTAAGAAGAGTTAGTGTTACTTTTTATGCAAATGACATTTCCACGAACTTATCAAATATCATTGTGAAATGAATATGTCTTTGTTATCAATACAAAAAATTGATCATTTATTATTGTAAAATTAATATTTCAGCCAATAATTACTTCTGCATAACACTGTAGTGTATTAAATTTCTAATTTATATTATGACTAAAAACTATTTAATGACAATTATTGCTACTCCTACATCAATAATTAATTGAATTTTGGTCTGGCAAATAATAAAGTAGAAATCAGAAATTTGCATTAATCACAACATTTTCATACCTGCATGTAACAATCATTTTTTTACTATCAAAATTCATTACACAAATTAAATTATCAAGAATAGCTCAAAAAAAAACTTAAAGAAAACAAAGGAAATGATATATGTATAAGGTAAGGTAAATAAACAGTAAACATTACCGCCTCTTAACCAATTAACCTTTCTAAAATAAATCACAATTTATTAATTATATAATTTTTAATGTCTACAACTAAAAAAAAAAAACAGTAGAATATTTTTAAAAAGAGAGGAAGGATGAAAAAAAAAAAGACAGAGAAACATTCACAAGTATTATAATATAAATTAATTTAATTAAAACTCACATGATAGTATTAAATGAAAAATTTATTCCAAATAATAAAAATTTAAATTCTCTCTCTCTCTCTCTCTCTCTTGAGGAAAATATTCATAATAAAACAATTCTCCATCATTATAAAATTATTTACATTCATTTTATATTATACTTGAAATAAATAAACATACATTATTATAATCACTAATAGAACCCACTTAACATAGCACTGTCAACATAAATGGCAAAAAAATACAATAATTTGACATATTTATATATCGAAATATGATTAATAGTATTCAAATATAAAACAATATGATAATATCAATATAATATCATTAATGAATTACTCAATTATCATATGAAATTAATAATAATGCATAATTTGTATTCGTTATGAATTATAATAAATTTTTTTTGCATACATAATATGTCATTCCTATAGAGAGCACTCATCGAAATGTTTGTTTCCTTTAATAAAATCACAATATTATTAAAATTTAACTTTCTTTCTTCTCATCATCAAAATTTAAAATTTATATGAATTACTCAGAACTTAAAATGAATTAAAATCTATAAGAAAAATAGTTTAAGTATATAAACATACTATTACTTTTAAACAAGGAACACTAAAAAGTTTTGAATAGTAATTGTAATAGTTCCATTAGTTCAAAGATTTTTTTCACTGATATGAGACAAAATATGATGATATCATTTAAGTGATATATTTTAATTTGATAAAAGATAAATCATCAAATGAACAATTCTCAACCTTCATTCTATTACGTTGATTTTTACTACAATTTAATTTACAAAGCGATTAATTAATTCTCGACGAATTTTTTCATAAAACAATTATCATTCATTATCATATTATATCAGAAATCAAACCAATTTTATAATTATTTCATTTTTTTTTTCTCACCTACATCTTATTATTACATTTATCGCTTCTCTTTCACAAAAGTAAATTAAAACATTTGTTCAAAATAGTTCAGAAAGTATCAATTTTAATTGTTACAAGTGAAGAACAAAAATTTTTTCAGTTCAATTAAATGTATACTATATAGGCATAAAGGGATATAGGTATGGTTTAAAAAAAGTAATAGAAATTTTATTTCAAATCTCACTAACAAGAAGGAAAAAATTTTGGAAAATTTTAGTCAAAATAAGGTGATGTCAAGAAATATAACTTTCAAATAATATGCAAATATTTCAGAAATGTTCAATTAATTTCCTTCCTTCGGTCAAGAAATGATAAGTTCGAGATTTTCTAAAAATATTTGTTTTAATTTCTGACATCATCAAATGCCACTTATAAAAAGAAGCACTTTTTTAAAAATTTGCAATCTTTGAGTGAATCTTGGAGACCATTTATAGCTAATTCCTTTATTAAACCTCAATAGAAACATAAAAAATATAGTAGTCTAATCAAAATCCTGTACAATTTTTGAAATGATTCACTAAATCATTCTGATCATCATCAAATTATGCTAACCAATTCAAAATTAAAATTTGCTTAAAAGCATAACTGCTCTGAAATGTTTAAAAGTTAAAAAAAAACATAACTGGAATTGGTTAGCTTAGGAATCATACGAAACAAAAGCATAGAAATCAAAGTGTAATAATACACTTCGAAATTTTATAATATTATTGCTTAAAAACATTAAGATTTCCAAAAAAAGAAAATGATTAGGATGAAAAGAAAAAAAAAAAAGGCTAGGAAAGATTAACTACTCCTATCAATATGGATAAGGAGTTGTGTAAAAGTTACTAAAAGGTCACAAAGAAGATAATTAAGAAAATGAAAAGAAGACAAAGTATTGAGAGATGAAAAAAACAATGTTGCAGAAACATTTGGAAGTATTAGCAGCATATTTTCTAATTGCAAATGCCAAAAATAAGAGTTCAAAATCTATATCCTTTCTCACCTACTATTCTACCTTCTCAAATTATCTAACTACTTATCAATAATTTTGCTATGGAAAACGACTTTGTTAGGATCGATTTTTACTGGAACAAGAACAATAATTTTTCAAAATTTCTTCCATTACTAATTTCATTGCACTTTTCAAATTCATTTAAAAATTTTCTTCTCAGGTAATAATACTTCTCTCATACTTCTAACTGCAAGCAAATAATTGAATTTAACTTTAAACAAGTCAATGCTATATAACTCCAACTGTTTCTAATTCCACTTAACATTATTTATATAAATTGTAAGTGTAAATCATTCTTAACCAACCGAATAACAAACAATAGTTTCTGAAAGATTTGAAACCAACAATTAATTGTAAGAGTAGCAAGCATTTCTATATGCTGCGAATGAGTAAATAAGTTACTAAAAAAAAAACAGAAGAAAAAAAAAAAAACCCAAGGAACTTGTTCTTGTAACTAGAACTAAAACAGTACAAAAATTTATACTGATCAAATTTTAATATACCATTAAATACGAATACCGGAATTCGTATGACACTCATATAACAACCCCATTCGATTAAAATCCAATTAGCATCAAGAATTCTACTTAACGATATCAAAACGTGCACAGTATTGAACCTCGATATTATGGAACGCATTACTGTTACTCGTCAATATCAAAAGTAATAACAAAAATTGCAATGAGATAGTTATTGCCATACCTGGACAATTAATCTACTGCAAAAAGACGAAATGTTGGAGACAATCGATATATTTCGTACAATGACAATAATGTGTAATCAATCTAGAAACTAATCTGCACATGTATTTCCCAACTTCGAATGTTAAAATTCTAATGAACTACCTGAGACATCAAAAAAATTCAATCTTTCAAAATTAGCACTGAAACGTTAAAAAATGACAGCATATAAAAAACAACAAACATAAAAAATCTTACAACAACATTGTTTTTTTTTTTTTTTGTTTCTAAAATAAATGTGTAAGTTTGAGAATTGATATCACAAGAACAACAGAAATATAAAATTAGAAAGAAATGCAAAAGAAAAAGAGCAAAAATGAAAATAATGATACATGTAAAAACAAAAGAAATTTTAAATTAGGCCAATTTAAAAAAGATCGAACAGAAAAGAGACTTCTCCTAAAGCTAAGGATGTAACTTTAAAAAAGTGTAAACCAATATAAAATATACGTCAGAAAGATTCTGAGAGATAAATTTGTGGAAAAGCATCCAATAGTTACTGAATAAATGACATGAACTTTCTTACTTATATTTGAATTCAAAAATTAATCCCAACTTATAAAAATATTTCCTTTTTCGGCCGACTTAATTCAAGTTCATTTTATTCCAAAATTGTGCATACAGCAAGGGATGGATCACTAAATTTAAAGATTGTACAATGGAAAAAGTCAAAAGTAATAGAACATAAAATAAAAAATGTACGAGTCTAGATACAAACTAAAAAAAAAAAGAACTCTCCTTTTTCATACTAACTGATAAAATAAAAACACGTCTTTTTCGTAAGACACAAACACTGACGTTGCTCTGAGCTCTGCGGTCATACCAAACCTCATTTCCTAGCCAAACTATAGATAGAAATTGTTCATTAAGAAATACTAGTATAGACAATAATAATTATAAAAACCAAGTCCAACGCTTTAAAATATAAAGCTGCAGTTAAAGCTAACTAAATTTAATTAGGTCCAAATTTTGAACTTCATCATCTTTTAACAATAGCATAATTAGTCGGAAGCCCACACCGACGTTTATGTACAATCGTTAAAGTACAATACAGATTCTGGTAAGATAATGACAGAGAAATAACTTGATGAAACTCTTAAATTGCTCATTGCACGATAACTGCTGATAAAATAGAACCAAAATATTATCTGAGTGGAAGATAAAGACATAAACAGGTACAAAACAAAAATAAGAAAATATGACCACGCGCAGATATAAAATGAAAAAACAAAGTCAAAGTAGAATTATATCCAGACAGCAAAACATTGAACTAAGTTCAAAAGAAATTTTTGGTAAGAAAAATCATTCAATTATTCGATCCCTGAAGTCTACAGGCAAGCTGCAAATTTTGGATAAGTTTCTCTGCAGCTGATCCATGATAACCGGTAATATTACTAGCTGACCAGGCATCAAGTATTTTGATATCAGCTAACGTTAAAACAATACACTGTTCCAAAGAACATTTAATTTCCTGTGAGCATGGTCGGATTAGTGAAGACAAAGTAGTAGAGCAAAAACAGGCATCCAAAGAGCAATTTTGACGTGAACAA